GTAGCTCAGTGATAGAGTGCTTCCCTAGTATGTGTAAGGCTAAGGGATCAATCCCTAATATCAAAATAGTACATAAATAAAACACAGATAGATTATTGGCAATTTGAATCAAGCTCTGTGATTCAAGTGGTGGGTTCTCTGGCTGGTCCATCTTATCATTTTGAGTGCTTTAATTCTGGTTCCTGCAAACAGTGTATAAGAAAGTTTTACTTTCAATGAGAAGTGCTGTGGTCTAATGAAGCAGTATATATATGTCTCCCTTTACTTTCATTGAGTAAAGTTTTACTTTATGATGAGATGGTATCCTTCTTGGACATCCAATCTGAGAGCTGTCATCCAGTCAAGGCTCACACTGGCCCTTGGGAACACATGAGTTTTTCTGCTCATCCCCTGCTGCTTGTGGTCCCAGAGACACAGGATAGAGAAACAGCCCTGCAGCTGGCAGCCTGGGAAGTCGGGCAGGGAGTGTTCAAAGCTTTTTAGATGGAAGACAGAATTCTACACTGAACCCAGCCATGTTCTGCACACATAGGCAAAGTTGCTCTGAGTAACCAGGAGAGGAAGAAAGGAAATTCAAGCTGCCACTCATCTTCCTGCTCACCCCAACCCTGAAGTAGTCACTCAGGAGGGTTTCTCACTCGAGAGCCACAGCCTTTAAAGCCACCAGGCTTGATGTCCACTGATGTTCCTTGACGGGCACAGAGGTCCCAATGAGTCTGTGAAGGGGACTGGACCAGGATCTGCTGGCCACTAGGAGGAGGGCTTTGCTCTGTGCCTGGGTTAGACTGGGAAAGAATCACAGTATAATCTCTCCCGTATTCCTATTTGTAAATCAGGGACGGAGAAAGATTATATGCCTGCCACATTGGGTGGTGAAAATTAAAGCAACCAAGTGTAAGATACATCAACACAGTGCCTGCCCTCTAAGTTGTACTGGATAAATGGTCTCTTCTGTGATTTTATTTTTCCTTGTGTTTATTCAAAATAATATGCTGTGTACACAGGACTTTGTCAGTAAGCAACTTGGACTTATCCATTTACTGTTCCTCAGGTATCACCTAACTTGAACTTCTTAAAGGTTATAAATGCCTACAGGCACAGAGAAACCCAGACATTAATACATTCACTGAAATGCCTGCTCTCTGCCAGGCCCTTACCAGTCACGCGGGACACAAAGACCTTCAAGGAGCTGGAGAAAGACAAGTAAACAGAGAGTAATTATAGGGCAGGAAGGGCAGCGGCCAAGTCCAAACTCCACATAGAGCACTGGAGGCACTTTTTTGAGATCAAGAACTGGGATCACAGCAGGCCTTCCTGCTTGTCTGCTTTTGGGTATGACGGAACATCTCTGTAATTCCACTTATTTAGGAGGCTGAAGCAGGGGGATCATAAATTTGAGACCAGCTTTGCCAACTTAGCAATATCTTGTCTCAAAATAAAAATTTTAAAAAGCTAGGGACCTAGCTCAGCAGTAAAATGCTTGCCTAGCATATATGAGGTCCTGGGTTCAACCACACACAAAAGGATTTTATTTTGATTTCTTCTCCTTTATTGACAAGGTCTACAATAGATCATGGCTACAAAAATGATTATCTATACCTCATTATTTTTAAAAATATCCACAAGAGTGGCTCTTACCATTTAAAACCCAGGTCTTAAGCTTCCTTTCAAAAGAACAATTGATTTTCCCATCAAAAGTCCATTTAGGTATTAGCTATGAGGGAGCAGAGAGCCAAACACTTATAAATGGTTTCTGGGAATGTGCCTCTGTCTCCTTAAATCTGATCTGTAATTGTGTGCCCGTGAACCTGTGGTCTTTAGCATGAGGAATTGTAGGAACTGCTGTGTGTCTCCTGATCAAGTCTGCATTTGCAAAAGAGGAAGAAGAAGAAGGAGAAGCGGAGGAGGAGGAGGAGGAGGAGGAGGAAGAGGAGGAGGAGAAACCGAAGTGACTAATTGGATAAAAGAAGCTAAATGTGATGCTGGATTATGGAATATCCAGGCAAAATGCTGTTTCAGTAACAACTGTACCATTCTCTCAACTCCAGTGAGAATGAATGCAAGAGACAGTTCATCTGGGAAAGAAAACAGAATCTGGACTTGCATCTCAGTGCTAATGCAGAACTGCTGAGTAACAGCCTACTAGGCAAGGTATCTGAACGGATAAACCTCCAAGGTCTAATACTGCCAGATAAACCTCCATGATCTAATAGTGCAGATACAGTGATAACACAAAACCCCTTCAATAAACTTTTACATATCCATTCATTCATTCTGTAAACACGTACAAGATGCATATTCAAAAAACCCCATACGACTTTTCCTTCTGTCTTCCACTGGGCTGCCACTGGATTCACCTTCAAGATTTTTCATGTCACAATCCACAAAGGAAAAGTCTCCTGTGTATATTCTAAGAGCACCATTTTACTTGTCTTGTGGAGTTTCCCATGATTTATATAATCTGAGTAAAAAGATAAGTTCCTTTTAAGGTATACTGGTTTCCACATATTTAACTAATACAAGTAAAAGGGAGTCATTGATTTTTATATAATAAACCCATATATTTAAGAGAGAAATAAGCTCTGAGCTCATTTCTGGAGAGCTGGAAAGAACCAGCCTTTTATAGATGACTAGGAAATTAATTTCTGAATTCTCAGAAAAGGAGTAGAGGTGACTATCGGATGCGCTACAGTGTTACAAGTCATTCGTGTTGATTGAGTTACTATACTGAGTCAGTGACCTCAAAATCACATCATTCCTGTGGGAAAGAAATGACCTGATTCTGGGAAACAAAGGGGCCTCTGATTTTGCCTTCTGGTGTACAAGAATACAGCCGAAAATACATGATATGCTATATACTCAGAGATTAATGGAGCATTTATGTCTATTAGAAAATAATTCTACCTCAGTACCACCCCCTTGACTGTGGACAAACATTCCTCAGGTTAACTACACAGTTGAACAGCTGAGCGAGGAGAGGACCCCTAACAGCTCAAGTGTAAGGGGATATTGCATGTGCACATCTACTAGGCATCAATCTCGCATACCTTAAGAGTGGCATCTTGGCAGAGGGAAAATGATGTATTACTACCAAACTTACTTTCCAAAAATGTTTAGGAAACTACCTATCACATAAGTAGCCTACTATCTAGTGACATTTTTTGGTGTAGATAAAACCATTAGTTTTATCCTTTGCATCTATACTATGCAGGTTTTATCTAGATACGTGCTTGTAATTTCACTAGCCAGTTGCTCGCTAGGTTTTCAAATTCTAAATTCTGCTCTGTAAGGAAGTAAAATCATGACAGGAGATGTGTTCAGCTACCCAAGAGTTTCTCCCTCACTGGGCGTGTTTGCTCCTCTACAACGTGTCAGTGGACAGTTTCACACGTAGACAAGTCCAGGGCAGATGGTGACCCTAGAAAGTGAGGGCAGAAAAGAAACAGTAAGAAGCAAAGGCTCTGACTGTAGGAAGGAAGAAGATGTGTCTCGGCAGGGTGGACACGTGGAGTCGTCTGCACAGGCAAAAACAAAAAGGTAATTTTCAACCAGTGACTCCCCCATCCTTCCTGTCCACTGTTGAGTCTGTTTAACACAGACATTGCCTATCCCCTGCCTTCTGTCTTCGCAGCTCTCTACTAGGCACTAATTTTGAGCTCTTGGACACCAAATAATGAAGACCAGATGACTGGAACCCTGATCACATTGGTTCATCTAGGTACAGGATCTTCCTCACCTGCAGAAGGGAGACCTGATTCTGGGAAACAAAGGGGCCTCTGATTTTGCCTTCTGATGTACAAGAATACAGCCAAAAATACATGATATGCTACATACTCAGAGATTAATGGAGCATTTATGTCTATTAGAAAATAGTTCTACCTCAATACCACCCCCTTGACTATGGACAAACATTCCTCAGGTTAACTACACAGCTGTCTAATGTAGGTAATAGTTTGAAATGTATATAATAGTTAACTGGTCCTATTTTAAATAGTTTCCTTTGAAACTGATTTAAAAATATTTTCTTACAAATTTTTTTTTCAAATGGATTCTCCACTTTTTTAGGGAGCCAAAGTGGCTGGAATTAATTTTTAGGATGAAAATTACTTCATATTTAACATTTTTTTCTTTTTGGCTCCATTTCCCAGACCTGTGTTTTTCTTTCTAAAGGCCTGTTTCCTTCCTTGGACCTCTTTCACTGATCCTGATAGAACCTTTTTTCCGAACCTCTTAATGCAGAATGCCATTGATTCATGGCATCATTTTTTCTTATATGATGTAATATTTCAAATTTGGAATAGTCACTTTAAACAGCAATTTATTTAAAAGAGATCTTTAGAGTTTATAATAGAGCTGTCTAGAGGTAAGGAAAAGGCTTAAAAGAGCCCTTATGAGCCAGCTCACTCCGTGGGTTCTCCAATTTAGATTTTGCTGTTGTTGTTGCTGTTACGTTCTTGATGGAGTTAAATGTACTCATTTCAGCCCAACGGATGTGATCACAGCAAGCATTAGGAGAAGATGGTGCTGAAAATGGTGATTTTTTTCATTGTTCATCCAGCCATCCATTCATCAGACATTTACCAAAGAAATCAAAAGACTAGGCTCCAAGAGCTTAATCATTACAGTAATAATGAAGACAGCCTCTGCCCTTGCAGGCAGGGGAAGCAAAAATGTAAACCAATAATGTGAAAAGTTCAATAATGAGTGTATACATCAGGCATGACAGGGAGCCCCAGGAGATGTGCTAAACTCAGCCTGAAGACACAAAAGAGATTTGACTGAACCTTCCTAAGCAGAATTCTTCACTGTTATTTCTTAACTTTTATGGTAGTCACCTGATAAATGTGCAACAGAAGCTCATTCATCAAACCAGTCTCTCACATTGCAAAACATAACGCTGTTCTGAAAAGCAGGTGTGCTTGTAATCACGCTAGTCACGCTGTATCGCTGGCTACACCTGCAGAGAGAGAACTATTTTTTTGCAAACATGCCTTTTGTACCTTTGCTGAAGAACAGATGTGATTTGCTTGCAGAAATTCTCTCCATTTTGAGAAAGTTCCTTAAGGCTCTTGTAGGCCTTGTTGTACTGGAGGGGAAAAGAAGAAGATGAACAGGAAGATTACGAGTGCTTCCAGAAACAGAGACCCCATAAATTCAAAGTGCTACTGTGACGACGACTGCCAGTGCCGTGACTGCACAGCTAGAGGGATACACGAATTTTGGATGAGTCCTTGAAGATTCAGTCTTCAAGGGTATGAAAACTCCTGGAGAACTTTACTAAAACAAAGTTGATCCATTTTTTTTCTAGGCCAAATGCAAACAACTCACAGCAGAGTGCACTGGAGTCTAGTTTCCTATTATATTTATCATTCCCAGGAAGGCCAAAGTACATTCTAAAGGACACCACAAAACCATTTCATGTCCTCAACCCCCACACTAACTCTGCAGTGATATTCCTGTATTTATAAAGCACCATGACCTGTTAAAGCGAGCACTTAGCTGGGCAAAGTGGTACCAGCCCATAATTCCTGTACTCTTGGAGATAAGTTTGAACCAGTCAAGACAATAGAGTGATTGTAAGACCCTGTCTCAAAATTAAAACTACATAGAGGGTTGGAGAGATATTTCAGTGGAGAGACCCTGCATTATATTCCCAGTACCACAATTAACAAACAAGAAAATAAATTTTAAAATAAACTGAGCACTTTTTGGCTAAGATACAAAGAAGTAAGTGAATAATTTATTGAAATTTTGTCCTAGTTTCTCTGGGTCTCATTTAACTCTTGTAATAAGAATATTATTATGAACATTTTGGTTTGACCAAACCTTTAGAAGTGTGTAAATAGTCTTTGTGATATCAACAGTACCGCAGTGCATTTTGGAGTATTGGGTCAATTACACTGCATCCTCCCCTCCCCAAATTAATGGAGGTGGTTAGAGCTTGTGACAGGCAAAAGCATGCAGTTAATTGTTCAGAGTGTATCACTGAAAAGCAGACTAACTAAAGAGATTTCCTTACTAGCAACTAAGTCTTCCCACTATTTGATCCTTGACCTGCACATTAAAAAGCAAGTAGAAGCATGAGAAAATGAAGCAATAGAATGCCTCCAAAAACCTCCCAGTTCTCCCAAGCAGCTGGGTCGTGGCAAACCAATGGAGAGGAAATCAAAAGCCAAATAGCTAGAAAAAAATATAAGTAAAGCTTCAGAAATACATTCATCTATGAATTTAGCCTGCAGATAAAAGAATTTAAATAGAGATTTAGAACCTCACAATGTTATTGTGATTAATATATTTGTAAATGTAGATTATCTATGACAGTACGTTTTAAGAGCCCAAAGAGAAATAACAAATGTCAGTTGACTCTGCAATTTATTCAGACACAGAGCAGGTAATTTTGATCATGGAACACCCCAAACACATCCTCCTATAGTTTTCACCTGTGAAATGCAATAGCAGAGCATTTTTCAAAATGAGATTTTTCCATAAGAGGCTTCAGTTCTGAGTGGACTGAATGTCATGCTATGAGCTCTTTGCTCCTATATGAGTCAGCCTCTTCCAGGGCTCAAACATCTTGGTATGAAGTGGAGCACCATATTGAACAGGGAAAGAGAAGGGACTTCATAGTCCCTGAGCTCTTCTTTGATTTCAGGCATAGTCACATGTGCAAATACCCTCAGGCCTAGAACCCTTCCACCTAGCATGCAGGATTGGACAGAAGATGATGGTCCAGAGAGGAGAAAGGACCTCAAGAATTGGCCTATGTCTCCACCATTGGAGACCGAACAAACCAGTAACAATTTTACAGATGCGAAGCCCTGTTATGAGTTGAACTTTCCTTTAATTTAGGATTTGGTAGACATGTACCATAGGTTCCAAATTCCTATCCTGAAACCTTAAATCTAAAGCTTTTAAAAATCCAGAACTTTTTGAGTGCTGATTTGATGCCACAAAAAGAAAATTTCATACATAACCTGATGTGATGAGTCTCAGTCAAAGCACAGTACAGTGACAACATTGTCTAAAACTAGCTTTAGGCTACGTGTACAACACATGTATAAAACATAAAGAATTTTCTGTGTATACTTGGGTTTCATTCCCAATTATCACATTACTTCAGGTACACCAAAATCTGAAACAACTTCAAATCCTAAATACTTCTGGGCTCCTATTTTGGAAAAGAAATATGTAACATATAGCAGAAAAGATCTTCATTGAAACTGCCTGGGACACAAAAGAGATGAAGGTTGTAAAAGCTTTCACAAAGAATTTGTGAACTCTTAAAGCAAGGTGGGCAAATGCAGCTCCTGAAAGCACCAGGCAGGCGCATAAATGTGTGAGGAACAGGGTGGGGACCATAAACTGGAGAGGCAGCTGCCACTCTGGCCCATCTCTGCCCCAGCCGAGTGTGGCCTAGATTAGATGATCTTCCAGTCTGTAAAAAAAAAAGAATGCTGAAATCAGGATTTCCATCCTATATATGACTTTTAAAAATTTTGGCAAACAATTGACCAAGTTTATAACCATCTATAGTGCAGGCAAATCACACCTGTGCTTGAGTTCCTCTGTCCTGAAGAGGCAGTGATTCTCAGAGTCAGGAGAAGAAAATCATTATGTTGCAACCAAGTTTTCTGATTTTTATTTCTAAGAAAACTAACTTGCCCTTTGTGAAGGATATGATACTATGGAAGCCTTCTTCTGCCCCTTCTGGGCATGCTGGAAGCGTTTTGGAATGTTTTAAGTTCTTAAGAAGTTTTGCAGGAAGGAAAGTTGGTCAGTTAGCTTCGTTATTCCTATGTGACCTAAAGCCTTTTATTCTCTTCCCATGACATCTAAGAGCATCTTACTAAACACACCTTGGTGTCAGGAGAAGAAATGACCTGTAATAGCCCTGGAATGAAGTCATTTCTCAGCACCCGCCATCCCCAAACGTGTTCCGCTATGTGGCAAATGCTGTTCAAAGAGGTGTGGGAGAAAGCTTTGTGTGGGATTGCAGTAAAACTTCCTTTTTTTGTCTTTCTGCTTCCTGGACTAAGAAGTGACAGGCAATGTCATAAAGTGGCATTGAGACTGGACCCCAGGAGCTAAGGTCACAGAGCAGAAGCAAAGAGCCTGGATCCCACAGATTTAAGTGTAAGAGAAGCACAGTGGTGTTATTTAGCACATTCTTACTGAGGGGTTTTCTACTATGTAGTTTAATGTAGTTATAACTCAGATGCAGTCTTAACTTTTGGTTCTAAATAATAATACAGAGTAATGATACATATCATGTAATCTAAATTATAGAGACATTATAGAGACAGTTTCTTGTGCTCTTCATTTTGAGTAGTTTGTTTCTTTTCATGCTTTGTTTGGCTATTCCTGGGCATTTATTCTTCCATAGGAATATTTATTTAATTATAATTTTAAAAATTCCCATTTGAATCCAGATCGTAACTGTTAGACACACACACACACACACACACACACACACACACACACACACACCTGAGAGACCAGATAGGAAGATTAAGCTCTAATTGGCCTCTTCTGTGAGCACTAGAGGGAAAGGCGGCTTGAGTATACACTGACATGCAGCAGGGAAAATGAACACAGCTGAGATCCTATTGTCTACGTGCGTATGTACTATGAATGGCAGGAGACAGATGAATTCTGTTTCACTATTTTTGCTTGTGCCCATGTCTGCGTGAATAAAGTCAAGGTATGCCAGTGATTCAGGGTTCTTTGTCATAGGGAGACAAGAGCCCCTTAACCCCTCAGTCCCACATTTTAACCTATTCTGTGTCTGTTTGTGTTTCATCTTTGTTCAGGGTTAAGGTCATAGGTTGGCTATATGTATATGTATATATACCTGGAAATAACGTGTAGATTTCCCATAAAAAGAACATTTTAAGTCTTCTTATTTGTCCAAATCTTATTTCATATTAATAAAATTTTATGATTTTCTTTATAGGTCTTGTGGCTTTCTTATTTGAGATTAAGATTTTATTTTCCTCCCAGTGCAGAGGATGGAACCAAGGTTCTCATGCAAAGGCATTCAAGTTCTGCTTCTTAAGGGAAGAGGCTGCTCAAAGCACCCTTTATGGCTTTCACATACAACCCACCTGTTCCCGAACTCCTGGTGCCCAGGCACACAATAACCAGGAGGTTTTCCAACGCATGATGTCATTATTAATTCTGCAATCAGATAAGAGCGGGCTATTCTGCTTGTAAAAGCAGTAGAGAGAATGTTTGGCTTTGACCTATGTACAGTGTTCAAGGAAGTCCCCAGAAAACCCTGATCAAGATTGAGATAAAGGGGGTATCAATAAATAAAAGAATTACTAAGAATATCTCCATTACCTCAGCATAATCCCTTATTTAGAGTCAATGCTTCTAGACCTTTTATCACATATCCATCTACTCAGACTTGACAATGGAAACTGTGAAAAACAGACTTGTATAAATGCCAAAGCAGCGTCAGAGACTATTTGGCCCTGAGTGTGTGTGCAGATGAGCATGCATCTGTGTGTGATCAGAAAATCGTGGACCAAATCTGCTTCAAGGGCATGAAGTATCTTGACCTTGGCTCCCTGTTCCAATCTCACTTCGGTTTTCCCCACACTGAGCCACCATTGAGGATGCTGAAGGGGATGCTGTGGAGCACAATTTGGGAATAACTCAAATTCAGTCTCTTTATTAGGCCCAAAGAATTGATGAAAGTCTCATTGCATAGGGACAGAAATGTGACTAGAAATGTTAGGTAACCAAATCAATTAGCAAACCTATCAGAAGCATATAGCTTTATGAATGGCTAATCAGTATAATCACAGTAATTCAGCTCAGAGTGCTGAAAACCTGTTATGAGCAGAACAGATGAGGCTGTTTTATTTCCTCCCCTTCTCCTCTTTTTTCCCCCTCCCCCTTCCTCCTCTTCTTCTTCTCCTTCCCCTTCTCCTTCTTCTTTTTCTTATTCTTTCTCTTTTTGGCCTTTTGAGATAGAATCTTACTGTGGTGTTCTTTTACTACACTTTTAATTATCTTATCCCCTACCAAACATTTATTACAGGGGAAAAAAATCTCATATAGATTTTACACCTCCAACTGAATTTATATAAACAGGTTACATCCTCCCAGGACCATTAATCAGGGAAAAAACATGATGGGTTTTTTTTTTCCCCTCACAAAGGAAAATTTCAAGCTGGTGGTAGGTATGTGGGACGGCCGAGCCGCTTAAAGATTCTTTCACAGAGGCAACTGAGCTACACAGACATTTCCTATTTAGCTGTTAGGAAAATGTTTTTGCCCAGCACTTATAAGCATATTCTGCCCTAAAAATATTATCATAAAAAAACCAAAAAACCAAAACAAAGACAGTAATCTAGGCAATAAGCCTACAAAATAACTAAATAGATGACTTATACACAATATAAATAACTAGCTGCTCCCTCTGACTTTCCAAAATTTTATTGATCAAGAAGGTTAATCTAGTTGTTTCACAGAAATCTGTTTTTATTCTAGCTGCTAGGATGCTAGTATGCAGGCAGTTTGGAAAATGGTGAGGTTCAGAGTGTTAAATAAGGTATGACATCCATTTAAGTTTAAGTAGGCTGTTTCTGGATGCCTTTCCTGTGGCAGGCACAATGCTACTGATTTCATGTGAATTCTGATTCCTAGGAGGTGGCATTTCAAGGCACCGTTCCTCCAAGTAAGGAATTAGTTGTATTTATTTGTCATGGGTGTGACATTTGGAATCCCCATGGCAGGCTGTCATAGATTATGAGACATGTAACATTAAAGAACATAGACAACTGCATTCTCTCTTCTTCTCATTTTATGGAAGAGAAAACAAAGGTCCAAAAAACATAGAAAAGCACATTATACATCTCATTTGCACACACTGGGAATGCTGTGAGCACATGAGAGCCACACTTGACTGACCCTGCCTTTCCGTCTCTGCAATGGGCCAGAATTCCTTGGGAGTCACGGACCATTGCATAGCATGTTTTGAGCTGCTGCCAAGCACATCTGGTGACCAGGCTGAAACGCCAAGATGGGAAGCCAGGTTGGCATCTGGACCAGGTTACAATTACAACCTGAGAGGCAGAGAAAATGCCACTGGAGAAGGGTTGACTGCGTAGAGACCAGAGGCTTCCTTTGACAGGTCCCTACCTGGTTACTGAAAGAACATAGGGAAACAAGAAGTTGGTCACAGCTCCTCCCTCACCACGGGCTTCCGTGGTGGTGCTTCAAGGAAAAGTGTGACCTCTTCTTTCCCTTCCATTCCTCTCCTTTCCATTCCCCTTCCTCTAGACCTCCCCTTTCTTGTTTTCTCTCTCCTCCTCCTTTTTCTCTCTCTCTCTTCCTCTCTCTCTCTCTCTATTTCATCTGCTTGTAATTTGATCCTGCTGACTTCCTTCCACATGGACTACAAGATGATTTCCTCTGTCAAATTTTTTGATATAGAAGCTAAGCTCATAGGTATCAAGGCCCAGGACCAGTTTCCTGGGACTTTTCCTCTATACATGCAGAACTTTTTTAAAAAAAACCTTTTAAAGTAAGTTTTTACATTCTCAGGATCAGTGAAAAGCCTTACACAATAGTTAGGCAATTTTTGTTCTATCAGATAGTGAAATAACTTGAAAATACAAGCTGACCTAGCTTTTGAGGTTGAAGCACGACATAAAGGAGATTTTCAAACTTTTTTGTATCAGGGCCTTATGAAGTCTATTTTACTTAGAATAATATTTTTAGATGTATAGTACAAAATAACTACAGAATTACAAAGGAAATGGTACTAATATTTATCTATAAAAATATTTGTGTGTGCTTTTTATTAACATACTAAATAACTAGTTTTGAGAATTACCAAAATTTCTAAGACTGAGAATAAACAATAGTTCTGGATATCTGCAACAACTCTAATGTCATATAAAATACATCTGCTTTTTATCAGTTGCATAGTCACAGAGGCTGTTAGTAGCACTAAGATTGCTGCCTGCATTCAGAATTGAAAGAAATTCTAAATTTCAGTTAGAAATTAGTACAACTAGAAATGTTTTTCCAATTGAATCCACATAATCCACTGAGGCTCAAATGTAATCCAGGGTACTGATCAAGGTAAGAACTGTAGCTAAGATGAAACAGTGAGTTCTGCTCTGTGCGACTCCAGGGACTGATGGGATAGGTCAGGGGGTTAAAGCTCTGAGTATTCTATTTCTTTAGGGTTTTGTGCAGTGCTTGTTGTAATCCATTCCCCTGTTTTATTAAGTTCCCAAAGTATAACCTCATCTTCACAGAGCATTGTTCTCCAAGTACACCCTGGGATTGTATCAGGAAGCCAACTTGAACACTTGATGGAGATGAAACAATTACAAATAAATATTCTGTGGCTTTAGAGGGTTTAGAAACCCAGGCTGAGGGATATCCGCCTCCTCTTGGCTCCCAGATAACTTTGGTGGCAAAAGGCCCATAGAGGTGACTTTCAGGGTTGTGGACGAGGACAACAGTCCTTGGAACAATGGTTCAGAATGGTACTAGGAACTGTTCTGCACCCTGGCAGAAACGGAGGCAGATGGGTTGTCTCAGGGCTGCTTAACGACAACATTTTTCCCAGGTCCTGACCTAAAGACAGACTTTACTGCCTACAAAGATTTTAGGCCTTAGGTTCTTTTTATTTTTTTCTTTTTAAAAAATATAATTGAGCATGGCCTCAGTTCCTCTATTATGTATTATTCTCCTTTCTTGTCATTGGCTTTCTTCTTTGGGGATTATCAGTACCAAACTTTTGCCTACATTAATTCCATATCCATTCCACCCAACGCCCTGGAAGTTTCAAAATCATTGTCAGGCATCAATTTGAGATAAGAAGGGACTTAATAGTCTACCCTGGAAGCAAAATCAAGAAGAGGAAAATAAATCATTAAAAACTTCTTTAAAAAATTATCAATAATTGACAATGAAGAAGGGATTAAAATGTAAGCAATAAAAAGAGGAAAGTTTCATTCTGTACAAAACAGATACCACACTGTCTGGGAACAATACCATTGAAGTTTGTTTTTACAGGAAATACCTCTTATTCTTGTGTTTCGAAAAGTACAGTTAGGCAGAGCTGCCCACCCCATTGTTGTTATTAATCTTAGTAACCATTTATGAATTAATCTCATATACATGATCTGAGTCTGGAACTCATTTTTATGGAATAGCAACCTGGATTCTCTGACCCTTCGAATAAAAAGGAAATAGTCTCTTCCTGATCTTTTTCTTTATAACTTTCTTACAGACTTCACGTATCTGACTCCCCAACATTTGTTTTTAAGTAAAATACATGAAAAGTGACTACAATCTCTTGCTTTTAGCCCTTTTTTTAAGTATAAAACATTGACAATCCTCAATCACTTTACTTTTGAAATAATGATATCTTCCCTTCATTTTAGCCCCTTCTTACCTTCTAAGTTCTTGCTTCATTACTGTTACTAATGACCTCACAGTACTTGGACTTCTGGTTGCTCTTCTGTTTGGGGAGTGTTTCTAGAATGGGAGACCTGCTAGTGAGCCAGAACAAACCCTGCGCAGGTTGGACAGAGTGAGGAGTCTGTCCTTCCTCCCATGGGCCTCTGGGTCCTTGACTCTAGACAGTACAGAAAAACACAAAGACTCTCCTCCCTGACTTCATTCACAGAGCCAAAAATTGGCTTCAGGCATGCCGCGTGTTTTTGCGTGTATTTTACACTCCATGGTAACACTGCTGGTGTGTGCCTTAAGACTGCTTTCCAACAGCCACCATCTGGATCCAAATGTGATATAACATATACACTCAAATGTTCTGCATGAATAAGAATGAAAGATAGCAACTGCTATTTCTTAGAAAGGCCCCTGTCTCAAATAGAACTGAAGGAAAACCACAGACTTTTGTACTACAGCCAATGTCTAAACATGCTTGTTTTCTGAGCGTCTCAAATTTCTGAAGTTAAAGCCATTAGTACATAAACCTATCCCGCCCACCACGGCACACACACCACGCAGAGCTACTCACCGAACAATCTGCCAGGGGATCCCTCATGTCCAAGTGCTTTTCACTTTTGTCCTTTTACCTACCCTGCAGTGTTTGGACCTTGCAGTCCAGGGCTGGGTGTGTCCTGGACTTCCGGGATTCAAAGGACCTAGGGTACGTCAGTCCCTGTCAGACACCAAGGCGGAAGTCTTGGCCCTGGACTTTCATCCAGTTTGTTTCCTGAAAAAGCAAAGAACAGCTCTGGATCAAGGCAGCCAGGATGAGATGGTGCGAGGGACATCAGCCAACATTCAGAGATCAGGACGCTGTGTCCCCGTGGGCGAAGCCTTGAAAGGAGGGCTGGCAACTGTCAGATGTCCCCATAATGCCAGTGCCCAGGACGATAGTGAGGGTCTCACATTCTCTCAACTCTCTGTATCAGTCATACATTTCGTTTTCTGTGTTTTATGGTGCCTGTGAAATTGGCTTCTCTTGTTGGTTTCCATAAGAAATGTCATCCTGTCCCACTATTGCATAAAGAATGCTTCTTACTGCAAGCTTCACAGTTCTAGAACAGATGGATGGGGCACCTACACCCCACCCCTCCCTGGCACTTCCTTTTACACCTCTGGACACTTGCTAAATTAAAATACCTCCATTCTCGCATCAGTGTCCCTCTCACAGTGTGTCCCGGCTGAATACAAATTGACGATTAGAGTCTATCTATTCAGCTTCTCAGGGAGGACAGAAAAAGAGTTGTTTCATTTATCTCTTGTTGCAACAACACAACATAACAACAGAAAACCCAGTGGCTTCAGATGACATAGAATTTATTCATCCACCAATCAGTAGTTTGTTTGTTGGTGGTTCTTCAGCTGTTCCCTGGACTTACTTATGCAAAAACAGGCCACCAGCACAGCCCTCTGGGTGGACTGGCAGCTAATCCAGGCTGTGTTGGGTAGGTAACTGGCTGTGGGCTGACTGTGGGCAGAGGCAATTTCCCATCAATCAGCAGCCCAGCCTTGTTGCTCCCAGAGGTCATCAGAGGAGCCCAGACAGCATGTGGAAGACCTTGGGGTTTCCTGAGGTACAGACACTGCCATGTTAGCCACCACATGCCAGCCCAGATTCCAAGGGGTAGAGCTGAATGTCCCATTGCAAAGGCATCGATCAGAGAGGGCTGAGAATTGGAATTAGTTTTCATTCAGTCCACTCCAGTGGTCAGTTAATATTTGCTCTTGAGTGACTGGAGAGATAAAGTAGACAGAGGAGGAGGGGCTGCTCTGTCTTCCGCCCCCTGCTCCCACAAGCTTTGGACTTCAGCAGAGATCAGAATTAGTGTGAGACACAAGAAGAACTAACTTCATGAGAGGATCTACCCGTAGATCTGGATGTGGACCACCTGCCCTCTGATCTCACCTGCCACCTAACAAGCTCCGCCAGCAGAACCCAGAGGAGAACTCCCCTCCTGGGAGGCAGAGCTGTCCCAGCGGCTGGTGAGTCACCTTGGCAAGGAGATCAGTGCAAGTCAAAGTGAGTGTGTGTGTTCCAGGGCCTCCCCCAGGCCCAATCCCCAGGAATGGCTTTGGGAGGAGGTGGCCAAGCTGTTGTGTGAGTCAGAGGGGCGAAGAGCCTTGTGGCTTAGGAATTCACAGTACCATAACTTCATTCTCATCACAGGTGGAGAAAAACATACAGCGACGCATCTCCTTAGGGAAGATGCCATCTCTTCTTTTCTGAAAAATTTAGTGCCCAAGCATATTTTTGAGCTCTCTGCCTACAAATTTGTCTCTATCCATAGGAATCTGGCCAACACTCATTCTCTGCTTCTTTCTGGCCCAGCCTCCAGTGTGACTTCCTGTTCAACTTCTTAGATCCCAACTTCCTGGCCTTTGTCCAATTTTTGCTCCCACTGACCTTCCTGGCAGCAGAGTCTCTCTGCAGAAGGAAAACCTGCAATGGATTCTCTTTGCTTCTGGCCTGGAAGTTGCTCCACTGAACTCCAGCTGCCATGTACTGCCCTGCCTCCGGGAGCAACTGACAGTAATAGCCATGCCACTGTTAATTACTCATAAAGCAAATGGTGAGTGTTGGTAAGTTAGTAAAACACAGGTACCTAAATGTAATAGAAGCTAAAGGCAATTTAAAATTTACTTTATGTGTTAGCTTCCTGTCCACATGACAAAATACCTGAGAAAACTACTTTAGAAGAAGAAATCTTTATTTGGCTCACGGTTTTAGAAACTTCAGTCCATGTTCGGCTGGCTTTGTTTTTCGTACTTTTGTATGGAGGTAGAAGGCTGTGGTGGAAGAAAACTGCCTAACATAATGGCAGGTGGGGTGGAGTCGGGGGAGGCACAAGGTATAATCTCCAAGGTCACACCCCATGACCGACTCTTTTCAACTAGGTCCCACCCCTAAGTTTCTGTCGCCTCCATATAATGCCCTCAGATTATAAACTCATCTATGGATGAACTCATCCATGGAAGTTAGATCCCTTATGATCCATTTGCCTCCTTAACATTCCACGGCTGCTCTGGGGATCTGTGACACACAAGCTTTGGGGGAACATTTTGTGTTCAAATTGTAAAACCTGGAAAGTTTCTACAGTAGCCAAAATATGCCCCCAAATTGGAAGCAGCATAAACACCTTCAGTAAGAACCTGTTTAAACATCTTATGATAATGTAAGCTCTTATTTAGAGAATTTACCATGTGTCATTGCCTCACAAACAGGAACATTTTAACTAATCAGACATCATTTAAAACAGATATACATTATTTGAGCCTTATAGCACATGTAGGGCAACCAAGGTACAAGACAGTTAAGTGATTTACCCAAAGTCACCCAGGTAGTGTGGTCATAGGGCTCATCTGACTTCAGTGCCCCAATGTTGCACAGTGACTCAAGCCAGACAGGGGGATACTGAACAGCCAAAAGATGAGGATCTAGTATAAGACATTTCATTATGTAAAAGAACAAACAGGCTCACAATAAACAGGTTGTGAAAGAATAAGTGTGACTCTAGCTTTTACCTATAGAAGAAGAAAAAAAAAAAAGAAGCCATGTGATGGCACAGGACTGTAATCCAAGCACTCTGAGAGCTGAAGCAGGGGGATCTCAAGTTTGATCCCAGTCTGGGCAATTTAGAAAGACCTAAAACAAAAAATAAATGAATAAAATAAAATAAAAATAAAAATAAATGACAAAGGATGTAGCTTGGTGAGAAGGCCCTGGGTTTAATCCTCAATACCAAAAAATAAAATCTAAGCACAAAAATAAAATTTGCACTACAGTATAGCTCTGCAAGTTGAGATTGTAGACAACTTTTTGGCTCATTCTGTTCTGTATACTTTTAACATTTGACATGGCTAGGTACTGTTCTAGAAATAAAAGACAAGCAAAAAATGTTAAAGGATGACAATTATGTTCACTTATTCTCTCTCTCTCTCTCTCTCTCTCTCTCTCTCTCTCTCTAGATGAGGTCTTGCTATGTTGCCCTGACTTGCCCTCCAGCCTCAAGCTGTAGCTGGGATTACAGGTATGCTCTGCCTACCCAGGACCTGCTGATGGGATGGTAGCCTTGTTATCTTTTGCCTGTGGGATTTTGCAGATGCTATTCCTTCTTCTGGAGGTTCCTCTACCTTTCTGTTGGCTTAGTGTACTTTCATCTGTCTCTCCAGTCCAGGATGTGTCATTTTCCCGAGACAGGGTACCCCCTTGCCTTTGTACTACTGCTGTCCATTATATGAGCATATTTTGACTTCTTTACCCTGTTGTGTTGGAATTATTAGTTTGTCATTCTGTCTTCTACACTAACAAATGAGATCCTGATAGCCAAGTACCTGGACCAAAGTCCTTGATCAATAAATAACTGCTTTTATTTCATTGATTCAAAAGCTGAAGTGACCCTCATAGCTCGTTTGTCTTCCTTGATGAGGTGGGGGTGTTGTTTAGGGTAGTTCTGTATCCTCAGCTATCAGGAAGCAGAGTTCAAAAATGCTGAGAGAGGAGATAAGTGTGATATCCTGGGCAGGAAGTCTAAAACTGGAAATGGCTCAAATGCACTTGGGAGGCTGTGACACTGATTTAAAATGGCTTCGACAAGCAGGAAACCGAGACAGACTCAGCCAGAATCTCAAGGGGCCACTTAGAGAACTTTCTTGGAGATTTGTTGGTTTAAAAGATATAAACAAATGAGGGAAAGAGAGTCTTAGGACCAAGAATAAAATCAAAGGATGCCCTCATGTTAAGGATAAGTTTGGGAAAGCTACAGTCACAGATGAGCTGAGTGCTGAAAACTTTGCCGAGGAGCGTGGAGTGGGCATTTGCCTGTCCGCAGTGAGCTGCACTCACAGGGGCAGCACAGAGCCTCCTGTGGGCAGCTGGCCTGCTCTTGCTGACGGCATCCCAACAGCTGCTGGAGTCCTAGTGGAGAGACTGTGGGAGATGGGGCTCCGTCTGCCAAAGAACCTTCCTCCTCTGTGACTAAACGAACCATTGGTGCTGGGTCTGGCTACACCTTGACATGACACATATTTCCAGCCAAGCGGCCACTTCTGAATCTTGCATGAGACCTGGTTTTTGGGGCTGACACAGGGACGGACCCTTCCCTGCAGTCGTTTCAGACTCATGAGATCGGGGACAGTGAGTACCATTCGTGTCATCGCTTCCACCAGTCACGCTCCAAGGAAAGTGCAGAAGAATTCTCATTCTGATTCAAGTGCTTTTTATTTTTAGTGTCTGCTTTACTTGATTAGTTTCCTTAATTTCCATATTTCTCCAGAGCTGGAAGACACATCTCTGAATCCTTGCCTGAATGTGTGTATGCTTTTAAAAAAACAAACAAACAAATAAAAACTCACCTTTATCCAGAGCCTCAGGACAGAAAAATAAAACCTACCCAAAGGGAAGCACAAATGAATATTTTAAATTGTGGTGGAAGCAGTACGGGCACACACTGATACTGTGAGTAGTCGGCTCATTTGTTGCACGGAAGGTAACTTTTATGTTCTAATTATGTTGTGGCTTTTAAAATTCCATAAAGTAAGCTTTGTGCTCCCTACTACTTCATAAAAATTATCTCATTTTAAAATCTGAACCCAATAGTCATAATTAACCATAGGTATATATATATATCCATCTTGTGTGCAGTGTGCTTGGGTTTAATATTCATTACGCATGCCCAAGTCTCTTATTAATTTAAAAATCCCAGGTGTTAATGAAGAAAAAGGATGAAATCAAACAGATTAATTTACATAAAACAAATTAGAGTAAATTTACTTTTCTTCAATAAGCCCCAGGCAATAAAGACTAATGGACAAATAATGAAAAGTTATCCTACAGCTGAGATCTATGCCTCTGACTTCCAAAAGAAAAGAGTAAGAATTAAGGACATTTTACAAATGCAGACTTTTCCAAATTACCTTATGTCTTCATCTGATCGCCTGTATTAGTATTCATATAGTGTTACTTAAATTTTTCCGAGTTCAGCTATGTTTGATCTTAGAGATCTCAGGGAAAGGGTATACTGGAATGTCTCACATGTGGCTGTGTTAGTCTCCAGGGCAAGTAATGGGTTTGGCATTTTTGCATATGTAAATAAAGTGCCACCCACAGGACTTATTTGCCTTTTTAACCTAGGTTCCCCTTCTACTTTATAAATCATTGATTTATAGTTATTTCCCATAATTTACTGCCAGGTCTTGGAAATAGAGTCTTTGGAGGAAGCAAAAGGTCTCAAAATGGTTATTTATTGTGCTCTTTTCTGCCATAGAAACTGAGGACCTAGGGTGAGTGCTGAGAGGGGAGAGAACTTCATTCTTTATTTTCTTTTTTGCATTTGGATTTTTATATACAAGTCAGGCTTTCATTACTGAGTCAAAAATATGTGATAATTATTTTTCAAGCCATTGCACACTTTGAGGATTGATGGCACATGTATATAAAGCCTCTTCACTGAGAATTTAGGTACAGACAACTCTGTGTACTTGTTTTTTAAAAAATCCTTCCCTGTTGCCTTCTTATTCCAACCAGCTTCTTATTCTGCTTTGCATGCAGCACTTCTAAAATAGTTCTATCTAAAATCACCGCATCTTTCTATTTTCCCTTGCGTAGCATTTTATAGGACTGATAAGTTCTAGCTGTGTATTTGGTTACTTTCCTCATTCTGCTACCTCTTATGGAGAATCTTCTCTGTTCCAGGAAATCTGAGAGATACAATGTTGAACAAGCTCCAAGTTCTTTTCAAGGCTCACAGTTTGACTAAGCAAGAGTTCATCATGTTGTAAAAGATTCCCTAAAAGAAGTCTTTATAGAAATGTAACAGGAATTCCAAGGTGGTACCTAGCTTAGCTAGGTTGAGTAGAAAAATGACAGTAGAAAATACTGGTAAGAGATGGTGATACTGGCTGATGAAATGCAAATATTAATTGTAATTGCAAAACAGAACATGTGTTGGTGTCTCCAGAAAATTGTAAATCTCTCAAGAATATCTTGAGCACACAACTTTCATCGGACCTTATAGCTAACGAGATTTACAGAGGCTAGATTGTGGGAAAACTTAGGTGCTATAATTTTAACTTTAACCCAGAGGTGATTGGAGCCACATAGATGTCTTCTCTCCATGTGGGGTTTGAAGAATGTTGGTGATAATTAGATTTGCACATCAGATGGATTACTTGGACAGCTGGATAGAAGTTCTGAAGAGGATTGATATCGGGATCAGGAGGAGTAGGAGACTCTTACCAAGAACCAGAAGGAAAACAACAAGGCCTTACCAAACATGAAGAGGAAGAAGTAGAGCTCTAAATTGAAACCAGTAAGGCTTGATGATGGGTTGGATTGAGTGTAGATAATAAAAGGTAAGAGGAATTAAAAGATGACATTCTTATTTCTAAAAATAGCTGCAAATTTTACTAGGGTGAAATTATAGGGTTTTGAAAGCTTTATTAATGTGTTGATTCCAAATAATCTCAAAGTTACAGGCAAGTCGTAGTTTTAAAGAAAATTTTCCTAAGTTACCAACTTAATGCTCCATCATCCGCTAACGTTTTTGTATACATTGAATACAAGTAAGGAAGCTCTCCAACAAAATCACAATACAACCATCACGGGCAGGAAATTAAAATTGATTCATTACCACTATCTAATCCTGGGTTCCACCAATTGTCCTTTGCATTCTCCATGACAACAGGACCCTGTTCAAGGTCGTGTTTTTGTTCAGTTGTCATATCTCTTTTGTGGTCTTCTCTCTGGCTCAGTTCATCAGTCTTTCCTTGCCTTTCATTCTACTGACTGATTCAAAGATTATCAGTTGGTCCTGGAGTTGTAGCTCAGTAGTTAGAGAACCTGCCTACCACACATGAGACTCTGGGCTCAATTCCTAGCGTTGAAATCAAAATGAAGGTTACTAGCTAATTATTTCATAGATGTTCTATTTTAACTGTTGGAGTTAATAAATATTTTGCAGGGATGGGCTCTAAATTGTACAAACCTCACTCTTCACAAACTTTATTATGTTATATCATAGAAGCTCATACTTTCCCATTTTATTCAGTGCATTATAGTCTGTCTTTACTATTATTTCAATGCATAAAATAGCCTATATTTGGCCAGCAAGAACCCTTTCAGTTGGTTTTATCAATACCTTTTTCCATCCGTCTTTGAACATCTCCCTGCTTTTGAGCCCAGCAAGTTTTTCCACTCCGGGGCGGTGTGGAAGGCTTTCACTGCCCGGCTCCAGTCAATCCCCTCCTCGAAGTTCCTGACTCCCAGGGGAGAGGAGAGGTAGGTAGGATGCAGTAGTGAAGATCCAGGGCACTAGGCATACTCAGGAGGAGTCAGTGATGACTTTCTTACTTTGTAATATTTCTCTGAAAGATTTTTTAGCGCATTCTTAAAATCCACACCTCTAAATCATTCTTTTTTTTTTTTTTTTTTTTGTCTTTTTCTTTTTTTATCGATACCGGGGATCGAACTCACGACCGCCTGTTTGCAAGGCAGGTGCTTATGCCGCTGAGCTAAATCCCCAGCCCCCCCCCCAAATCATTCTAATATTTAGTTTCTTCTATCCTTCTAGTCTGCAGTGCATCAAATTACTGAACTGTTGGGACTGACTCCTTTTGAATCAGTGTTTTGCAATATATCTTAGCCCTTGGAGGGATTCAGGGTTTGGCTGGGGAAGGAGCTGTATGCTTTTGTGAGTTGGAATGATGCGGTACACTCAGGAAACTGATTTAAGTCCCTTGCACATCAGATTTATGGAGGGTCCTCCCCAATAAGGGGCTTCTGATGTAGTTGGGAGCACTGATGAATATAATGTTGAAAAGAAAACAATAAATAGAAATGAAGACCACAGGGAAAATTAAAGATTGGTAAGAAAAACTAGAGTTGGATTTTTTAAAAAAATTCAATAGAGAATTCAAATGCAATACAAAATGCAGCTTCAGAAATGAATGCCAACAATGAAAGTGTGCAACAAACTAGAGAGAGTGTGCAGAAGTTTTGGAAATACCCAGGTCTAGGATGGAAACTCTACTGCTTGCTAACTATGTAAGAGATGAGAACTTATTTTGGCTACAGTTTCTGTGTCTGCAGGTTATGGGTGTTCTGGCATATGTTTAACAACTGACTCATCATAAGTAAATAAGGAAGAAGGGAAAAAAAGGTCTCATTAATATCCATAGATTAAATGATCCCATTATGGCTAATTACAGTATAAGCCAATAGTGTAAAGTCACTGAGCACAGAGCAGAGAAGAAATGCACGGTAGTGTGCTATAATGGGTATTTCCACCACAGAGCTCTAGTAGGTGTAAATAACCTCAGAGCACATGTGATAGTAACATATAGAAAAATCATTAGCAAGCAGCAGCCTTTTGGAGTATTTATTACCTATGTTTCTAAATACAATTTAAATGGTGACTCCTACCCATAATCCCAGCCACTCAGGAAGCTAAAGCAGGAGGGTTGCAAGTTCAGCCAGTATGGGCCACTTACTGAGATCTTGTCTCAAAATCAAAAAATAAAAAAGGGCTAAGGAATGTATCATTGAGCATCCCTGAGTTCCTGATTCCTCAATATCGTAATCAATACATTAATTAGAAATTTAAATTTTAATATATATGCATAGGTAGGTATTTGTAGCACTGGGGATTACACTCAGGGCTGTGGGCATTCTGAGCAAGGGCAGCAACCCTGAGCTCCATCCCCATCCCTTTTTACTTGTTATTTTGAGTTAGGGTTTCTTTAAATTGCCCAGGATGGCCTCAAACTTTTAAGGTCCTGCCTCAGCCTCCCGAGTAGCTGGAATTACAGCGATATGTCACCATGCCTGAGTTTATATAATTTAAAAATAATGACCTTGTGTAACAGCTCATTTCCAAAATTTCAGAAAGTGTAATATTCAGCTCATTTAAGCTGGTACAACCCAGGTCTAATACACCACTGATGAGTGATAATAGTCACCCCTTATTATTTTAGACCTCACCTACTCACTAAAATTTACTTATAACCCCAAATCAATGCTCTGACAGGTGATGGTTAATTTTATATCAGGCTGACTGGGCCATAGGATATCTAGATGCATTATTTGATTTTTGAGTGGGATTAACCTTTGAATCAGTAGAGTGAGTAAGACTGATGATTTTTACAGTGTCAGTGAGCTTTGCTCAATTTATCCAAAGCCTGAACACAGCAAATACAATTTCGTCTCTGGCTGTCTCTGAGGTCACTGGTCATCTTCTGCCTCTGAACTCTGATCTGGCCTGTAGCGCCCACCCTCAATTCTTCTGGGTCCTCAAATACTCACACGCACATCTTGGGACTCCTCAGCCAGAGGATTTTGGTGCAGGTCAATTCTGCCTTTAAATCAAGCTCCTTCTCTCCATCTCTCTCACATATATGTATAAATCCCTGGATGCTTCCATTTCTTTGGAGTACCTGACCAATAGCACCACTTTTACAGTCATCCTCTGGACATGTGCAGGTTGGTGAAAACTTTGAGTTGCACACATGGTCATTTCCAGTTGACCAGGGTGCCTGCTTTTGCCTTCTTGTTCCAGTTCTCATGCTGTAAGTAACCATCCTTTATGCGCCCCACTTGGTGCCATCTCCTTTGTGTTTGTTGCTGATTTCATTGTTTAAAATAAATAGCACCCAAATCTGGGTGGGTGGTGCACTCCTGTAATCCCAGCCCTCCAATTCTTTCCTTTCCTTCCTTCAGCATTATTATTGGCTTTTTCCATTATGTAGTTCAGGCTGGCCTTGAACTCACTACATGGCCCAGCCCGGCCTTAAACTTGCAGCAGTCTTCCTGCCTCAACCTCCGAGGTGATGTCACTGCAGGTGAGCACCACCACATCCAGCTAATTTTGTAAAAACCACTAACTATCCCACAGTGGCTGCACCATTTTGCATTCCCATTAGCTATGAATGAGAGTTTCCGGTGTCCCACATCATTGCCAGCATTTGGTGTTGTTAGTATTCTGGATTTTGGTCACCACCCTTAAATGTCTGGTCCTATCCTACTGTTATTTTCTGTCTCCTTTCCTTCCTCCTTCCTGCCTCCCTCCCTCCCGTCCTCCCTTCTCATTTATTGTGATACTGGAGATTGAACCAGGGCCTTACACATACTTAGCACCCACCCTGTCACTGGGCTACATTCCCAGCCCCAACCTATGACTTTTATTTTTGAGACAAGTCTCATTCTGTTGCCCAGGCTGGTTCTGAACCCAGGGTCTTCTCACCTCAGCCTCCCGAGTAACTGGGATTACAGGCACGAGCCATCTCAGCCCATACTCCATCGTGGTTTTAATCCACATTTTTCTCATTTATGATATGCAGCTTCTTCTTGTCTTTTTCCCTCCCTTACTAGATTGTATGAGAGCAGGAACTTGTATCTGTTTTCTTCGCCATTCTAGGTTTAGTGTCTGTAACAATTTCTTCTACCAAGTGGGCTCTCTGCATGAGTGAATGACTCAGCCAGGCAACTGAGCCTTTGCTAACCAAGTGGTCTTTGGCTACATAAATAATTTCCATTATTCATTAAGTTAAAAATATTAAAAACTTCAAAATCTGGTCCTGAGTATTGCAGCTTAGATGTTTTGACCCATTTCTGTGTCAGAATGGTCTCTCACATTTTCCAGTCCTGTGCCTTCCTCTCCTCAGTGCCTCTCCTTGTGTTTCCAGCCACTTCTTGGGCCCCATCCTACACGCTCCTTCCCTGAGCCCTTTTCTGTGCCCAGAGCAGCGCCCGTAAGAGCAGCTGAATGCCAATCAGAGTCCCAAAGTAGCTGGTGACAAAGCACTTTCTCATTTATTTCCTCCTACTTTATGGCAGAGGCAGTGCTGACGGCTGGCAGTGCACATCTTGCCAGCTCGCTCCTCTTCTCTCGCCATCTCCCCCTCCTCTCTGGGAAGGTATTTCTGAGCACACATTTATTGTGCCTTGTGACATGCCAGGCCCTAGGAATGCCCCCGGCAGACAAGCTTCATGCTGCTCCCACATCTACACTTTGCTCTGCTCTGTGCTGTGGGATGCAGTGTATCATCTTCTGGGCTCCACACCAGCAATTTTTGGTTAAGGTCAGCCAAAGGACAAAGCGAGATGAGAGCGGTATCGTGGTATTTACTCCCCCAGGGCAGCCTGCCCCCTACATGACTCCCTCTTATGGCATCTGGTAACAGCCTAGTTTGGCAAAGCTTCCCAGGTGACCTCTGGGTGTCTTATTTTCCCTAGTTTGATCTTGCAATTCAGCCTGTAACTCAAAAGTATTCCTTTTACTAATAAACTTAACCATTGGATAATGACACGATCTTTGTGCAGTTTTCAAAAATTTCAGTATTTAGGAATGATGCAGGTCTTGTTGCATCATGCATTAACACCTTGGAGATAATCAATGGTGTGGACCCCAGGCCCTACCGTGATGCTTGGTTTAGAGGGACCCCCCATCTAGAGGGCCATCCCAGTAGATCCTGGAGCATAGCACCCTGCTTCGGTGTCTTCCCTCTTTCCATATTGTTGGCAGTGTTGCCACTCTTCCTGTTGAAGTGAGTAGGAGTGGTGGAAACAGGATTAGGGGGCAGAGACCACATTTGCCTGGGGTGAATGCTGGGTTGAATGCGGCAGCGGCAGTGGCTGCTGTATGGAGGGGCCTAGGATGAGCTGAGCTGTCCTGTGCTTGTTGGCAGAGGAGCTTCCAGTGCTAGATTATCTTGAGTTTACTGGAAGCGTTTATGGCTCCACAAGAATGTACAGTCTTGTTTTTTTTGGTACTGGCAATTGAACTTCGGACCTTGCCCTTGCCAGGCAGGTGCTGTGCCACTGAGCTCTATCTCGTCTCTATTCTTCTATTCATGAGTGCAACTTGGAGAAATTTTGGTGGACAAAATTTACTAGAATAATTTATGCTTGAGATTAAATTGCTGTTGGAAGTAGTTAGAAAAATTTTAAGATTGTTTTACTGGGTATTTACCTTACTTTTATAATACTGGTGATGGTGGTGGTGGGGTGTCTGGAGATTTTTCTGTGCTGGTTTAGTAGCTTTTGAGACATCAGAGAAAAAAGAGCAGCATGGAAAAGACAAAGTCTCTCAACCAAGGCAGAGAAAAGGGAGAGAGGGCCTGAGGGCATGGGCCCCAGTCCAGAGACAACAGTTTCCTGCTGTGCTTGGGTTGTTGGTCCTTGATGCCTCTTTTGTAATTTGGGGGAATCAATAGTGTGATACATTTAAGCTGGCATCTCTACAAATCACTGTTTTTCAGAATGAAGTGCGATATAAAATTAAACACTGACTTTTTCTTTGTTTTGCTACCAGGAATTGAACTCAGGACCTTGTGTCTGCCAGGGAGGCACTGTGCTGCAACACTGAATTTTTTATACCCAGTTTTCAGATATACTTAGAGAATATGAGATGCGATTAAAGACAATAGCGGGCATCTAAATTTTACAAATGACAGTAAGACACATGTTGCCATTAACTACTTCATCCTCAAAGCTCCCCTTCTGCTCACACTCCTTCATCACTCTTGGCCGCTTTCTGAAGCAGTTCTGAAAATCCCCATTTGTGAATGTATTTAGTTGCCCTGTCATAATTGCTGTGATATCTTAGATCAGCTCAAGATATTTATCGTTCATGGTCATTTTGCCTTGGAGGCAGAACCTGAAGCTGCACAATGCCAAACTCAGTGATCAGGTGAATGAAGAGACACGATGCTTGCTTTTATTTATTTTGGCACCGAGCACTGAACTCATAACCTTGCACTTGACACCGTATATTTAGAAACCTGCTTTTTCTTTGGATGGGAGTTGGCAATAAGCATTCACCATACTTTTTATCACATCTTATAAAGATACTCACAAAAGAGAACTCTCACAACTGCTTCACAAAGTGGCAAGGACAGTGGAATACATTTGTTCTAAGTGGAGGAGGATTTTGAATGCCAATGTGTCTTTTACTATAAAAACTTTCAAAATATAAACAGTCACTCTGTATTTTGATCACCCCTTGTGAATGATAAGGTAATATAACACTTCTTTCTTGATGACTGTAGTGATTTTGAGATTCAGGGGGACTGTGACAAAGAGGGAGAACATGTACCCTCACACAACTCCACCCAAGAAAGGGTGATGTTTCCCAACACAAGCAGGCGGATGCTTACAGTAAAGGACACTTACGCTGGACTCTTAATACTTATCTTTATTATGAAAGTGTTTCCAAAGTAAAATGATCCTCATAATAATGATTGCTTCCAGAGATCAAGAGTGAATAACAGTACTTTCATATAAAATCAGCAAAACACAATAACAATACATGAAATAATTCTAATTGGCTAACAGCACGTCATTCTATTTTTGACAGAGATACTCAAGCACTGAATTGTTTTAAGAAAACAAGTAAGGTTTTGTCTCCTATCCTATTTCTCACTGAAAGCTGAAAAAAAAAAATCAAACCAAAAACTAACCACCAGCCCCTTCCATGCCCACAAACGGTTGTGGAAGCAGATGATTCTGATGTGGACACACAAGACCTAGCCGAAAACCACGAGCTTAAGGGCTTTGTGAACTTGTGGGAAATCAAACTTGGAGGATGTTTTCCAGGTTTAAATTAATGAAGCTCTAAACTGAAGTTCCAGAATCGTCACGTACCTGCTCCTGTTACAGAACCTTTTTATTTATTTTTTGCAGCTACCTTTTAAAATCCTTAATTTTAAAGTATAATTTTAAAATCATGGTTTTGATTTCTGTAGACAAAAAAGAAAAAAAGAAACAAAAAAGAAATCTACCTTTTTTTTGTGCCAAACACAGAAACCTTACTCAGAGCTGCTGTTTCTGGATTCTAGGCCACAAAACATACACCAGCACAGCAAGCCATGCCTTCATGAACCCATAATAAGGAAACACACACACACAGACATAATAACTTCTTTCTAAAAAATGAAACCAAGCAGAGAAAAAGGTGTAGCACATGACTGATCCATAGGCTAGCGAGGAATCCGAAGCAGAAAATTGACAACCTGGTTGCTTCCTTTTAGCAAGAGTTTAGATGGCTCAAAGGAATGTGAATGAATGAGATCAAACAAGACAGACTCTAGGATAACAGGCCCCTCCTATCACTTCCTCAGCAATCCTGAGAATGCCCTTTGTGTGGAGATACCATATGCTACCTGGCTTCCAGATCTGTCCAATTCCTTTGGCTCAGTGTGTGCCCATTTGGTAACACATTCCTTTCAAAGTCTTTGGGGAGAACCCAAGTTGGAAATAGCTAGAAAAGACCGTCTTCGGACGTCTGCAGATCTTATTAACAGTACTTAGGTAGTTTTATGTTCTCCCATACAGTTTCCTTCATGAAAACCAGGACTACACATACTACCTCTGTTTATTCAGTTCTAACTTCATAGTGGACAGGGCTTCTCAGCATGCACTGAGCGCCCCCTAGAGGTGGGAGGGTGCTGTCCACACAAAGGCAAAACCAGGGCCTTTCTTTGGCCAATCACTTCAAAGAACTAAGAGGCAGCAGGCGAGCTAGTGGCAATTTGAAAATGGCAAAATTTCACTTCTCCAAGAGAAACCTTAACTGATTCTGGAGACAACAGTACTTTAAGAAAAAATCTGGCTGTATTTTCAGGAATAGTTTGTGTTTAATGAATTGCTCATGATTTTTCCGTCCACGGACTATGTGCTAGATACAAGTGCAATAACTAGAGTTTCCTACATCTTTGCTTTTCATACGAGTCACCTATAGCACACTAAAAGGTGCTATGAGATCACCTTATCTTTAGGCTGACATTGATTTGATTTTTTTTATTTTCATATCAGAAATATTTCTGAGATATTCCTATTTGTCCACAAAGCAAAACTCCAAAGACAAAAAAGTAAGCTAATGAGAATGTTAACGCCTCAAATATCACATGAAATGTAAACATTTAACTTTTTATTTCCAAAAGACTTCTTGAAACCTCTCCGAATATAATGACACCATCACACACTAATACATGGAAACCTTCAATACCTTTGGAATTATTTATATAGTTTTTACACTGCAAATTAAGGAAAATACTCACATATTCAGGCAACTTTGGCTTTAATGTTTCCAGATAGGGACAAAAGTAACTACTAAAGCAGAATTATGATTGTACTGTGAACAATCATGGCTGTCCACAAAACTATCTTTGAAGAGCTCTTTAGTGGTCTCAAACAAGCTGAAAGAAAGACTCACATTTTAATTAGTTCAAATAACAATGAAATTTAATATAAAATGGAAGCTTCAGATCTTTTCTACCTAAAATGAAGGCATTCAGTTTGCTCAAATTCAAATTCTGTCAAATACAGTCATGTATCACATAACTACAGGGACATATACTGAGAAATGTCCCAGTAAGTGATTTCACTATATGAAAATCACAGAGCAGACTTACACAAACCTAGATGGTCTGGCCGACTAGACACTGAGGATATATTAATATCTTACAGGACCACAATTGTCCATGTGGTCTGTCACTGACCGAAACATCATTATATAGCATACAACTGTACTCAAAACGCAAAGGACAGCAACGGAACTGGCCATTTTGAGTTCACCTACCATTCTGACTACAGATAATCTGCTCTCACCTCACTTCTTGCCTGCCTTTATTGCATCATTTTTGTCAGATGCTGTGGTGTTCTCTGATGGTAGCTCAGGACGCCATCTGTTTCACAGCTCAGCAGGTATAGGGTGTTAACACAATCCTGGGGATCAGGGACTTTTTTCTACTTTCCCCCCAAAATACCTGAATAATTCAAAATACTGATGGTTTCTCTTTTACTGTAAAAATCCACAGGACTGACTTGGAAACCTAAACTGTATCTAACTTCTGTGTGACCTTATGTACTCATGATCTGGACTGTAACGTACATAGCTTGTGGCTAAGCGACTGAAAGGGCTTTGCCACTCTCAGCTTGGTGGGGAGCAAGAACAGAGGACCAGAGGAGCTTCTAGTGTTTTTATGGTACGAACATGGACAAAGATGAATCACTGATTATTTTGGTTTTATAATGTTTTTTATGGAGAGACAAACACATACACACATAGATCATATACTTTTATATCATTTATTAACCCAAGGCCCAATTCTACCTCATTTGCTACGTTTTCCCACACTAAAAGATCTAGAAAAGCTATAACACTGGAGAGGTAAAATACCACTTTTTCTAGAGTCCTTTCTACATACCCCTTGGTACCCTGGAAAGCTCTGCATGTAACTAGGAGGGAATGTCACCACTGGCCAACTAACAAGAAACACCACTCTCACTAGCCTACAGCTGAATTTACAAAAGTTACCCCCCAAAAGCTACAGCCTGGCTCAGGTGATGATAAGCTACTTCACATAGTTTTCTCTGTCAGCCTTTCTCAGGCCACGATCAGAGAGCAGTAGACAGACAGAGATTAAAAAAACCTATCAACTTGAATTTTAAGTAGCTGAAAAAGAACTCTGCCCTAAAACGTAAAGTGAAACAGACTTGTAGAGAGGACTGTGTCAATGTTAGCAGCTGGCAAGGCTATTCCCAGTCTTCCTTCTAAGTTACACTGAGGAAAAAAGAAAAAGATCATTTAGATTTGCCTCTGCTAAGGACAGAATCAATTTTACCATTTCAGGAACCTCTTCTAAATCTTTAACTTACAAGCTGATCTTGAAGTTATTTTCTGTACTAAAATGTGTAGGGTGGCCCACGCTGGGACGCATTGCAGTTCTCAAGTTCATTTGATTCATCATGAGGACTTGCTCAGGTATTGAAGTGATGCACGTATGTCTCATAGCTGAGGCAATAACATCTTTCACTGGCTCAAAATTTTCAGCTAAACTATGCATGATGTTACTTTTATCTATCTGCATTTGAGCAGACATCCTAGTGACTACTTTTTGGTGTTTTGTGACTGGTTTCATAAACTCAGCCATCCACAAACTATATGCCTAGATATATGCCTCTCTTGTGAAATAATATAATAAGGGTCTATCAGCAGAAAAGGCTGCATTGTTTTCTACATAAACAAGCAGACATATTTCTGACTTCTTCAGTTATTACTTCAGAAACATCTTATTTGGAAGTGGGTAGGGAAAACTCAATATTATGATGAAAGAAGTTTTTGTTTGGAACTATTCTTTTAACCATTAACTCAGAGACTGCAAAGTTTGAGCACATTTAATTAAATGTGAGTGGCTTTGAGCAGGCTACACACACACAGTAATATTTTTCTGTTATTTTCACAGTACATACATTTATATTCCTGCATTTTTGTTTTGGATTCCAGTGTTGGGTGACAATCTTTTTGATTTATAAAATAACTACATGTAATCCTCTTTTATTCTCTCTTACTAGAAGTTAGAAGAAAAGAGAGACAATCTTTGGCTTATGTGCATGGTATTCTTATCCATGTATAACACTGCTGTGGAGAAGACTTATGAAGACTTTATTCTTCAGTAATTTTTCTCATTGCTGATACTGTCATTGATAGAATTTTGTTGCTTTTCTGAAAATAAAAATTGAATATAAATTCCTGGAAACCGAGTCTTTAAAGAAGCAAATTAAAAGGACTTGGAGTGCAACACTCTCCAGTTTCTAGTAGCAAGAAGGTCACTGTGGGTTACGTTTAAAGACAAAAACAATGGGCATACCAGTCTGTCCTCCATTGGCTTTCTTTTGCTCAGCAAAATAAAAACATCAAGTTCAATACTAGCGAGGGCTTTTCCCCAAAAGCTGGCTGGAATAAAGTGCTTTGCACTGGTGTGATCTGTGCTAATTCTTGAAAGACTCTCTTTGCCATCCCAAAATACACTTAGCTTTTTTTTTCAGGACGTGACAGAAGACTGCACTAATTATAAGGTAGGCAAACCTGGTTGAAATCAGTTGCTCTCTTTATATTATTCCCAGAACACGAAGCAATTTCCTACTATAAGAGTGATTTCTTTGTTTATAACTAAGAGTTGAAGCAAAGTATCTTCCTTCAGAGCCAGAACACTGAATTCGTCTCACATACAGAGGATAAACGATTTCCACAACCTATAGGTTAATCCCCAAACTGGCTGCCACATTTGCTGGACAAATCTTGGCTGTGTGCGTTAAGAAAATGTATTCCAAATCAGTTCCACACAACATTCAAAAAGCCTCCCAATAACCATCCTCTTTATTATTTGAACTGCTACTTGACCACAAAGAGCGACAATTTTAAAAGCTACTTGATCCTGTTTCAAGCTTCACACTGGAAGGATGGTCACCAAGACTGATTACACAGTTTTAAAACGAGCATAGTAACACAAAGAAAGCAAACCTAGCGGTGCTGTGTGGGGCTCTCACACTGGGTTTTGCTTGCTCTAAGTGACAAACTAAGCTGATGCTCAAATCACACCGGACTACAGCAAGAGAAAGGGGCAGAGGCGGATGGAACATCTCCTTCACTGTCATTAACCCAGGGAATAAAAGGAGCAGAAAACCCTCTTTTGTCCAAAGATTTACAAACATACAAAAAATAAATAATATTCTAAGACAGTACAAACGCAAATACTGTTCCCTTGTGTCAATTACATACAGCATGCCTACATAGAGAGAATGGTATTTCTTCATTCACAGACAGGACATACGGCAGTGCACTATTCAAAATGCTTTGATAATCCTAATTTTTGTTTCTGGTGCTGAGATATTATGAAAGGAACTGCATTTGCAACTCATTAAATACTTCCAGGAACAAACAGTTCACTTTGTTCAGGACTTATAGTTTTAAGTAATTAATCATCCATGGAGCAAGAACCGGTCAGCAGGTACCCATTAGTACCACTGGTCCCATTGGTGGTTGTTGCAGTGTGGGGGTTCTTCCCTGGAGGTTCTGAGTCCTCCTCATCTGAGCTAGACTCAATGTCACTTCTATCATCCTTGGACACCTGTGGAACACAAGACAAGTGAATATAGCCAGTGTCTATGGAGCCAAGGTATAGCATGCTAAAAAAGTGGATTTAGGTATCATAGAGTTGGCATGTTGACCTGTTTAAGATATCTTTTGATACTGAAAACATAGTAGAGCCCCAGCAATGGCAAATCTTTTAGACAGAAGTGCCCAAACTGTAATCCAAAACACACTTATTTAACATAAAGCGCCAACACTACAATTAAAACTGAATACTAAGGTTTTAGTTTAGAAACGAACAACTCATATGTTAATATCTTTTGTCATAAAAGAAAAGTAACACCTGTGGCATAGTTTTGCCTTCACCATACTAGACATGATTCTCCTCTTACCCCAACCAGCATGCTACACTCTTAGAATAGCATTTCAATTGGGTACAGATGGATCAATGCATTCTGTAGTGAGCGTATTCTCCTTGAGAATTACCTAGTGTTAGCTCTCAATCACACTAATGAACATATTCATTAGTATGGATCATTAAAAAGGTTTCTATTTGACTTTGTAGTTCTATGTGTCATACATGAACTAATGACATTAGAAGGCATTTTAAGAATCTCTTTGGTGGGGCCTCAGTTAAACTATTTTCTGAGGAAAATCCACTGATCAGATTCTCCAAAAATGGCCCCACTGTGCCAACTGCTTCAGTCCTCCACTTAAGTAATGAGGCTGGTAAAATAAAGTACCAGATAGATAAATCTGTATATTACCATGAAGGATAAAAAAGCCATACTTTAACAAGGATGTAATTTTAGAAAAAATTAAAGAACTATTCTATTGTTTTTTAGGATTTCTTTTCTTTCGCTTTTGTTTGTTTGTTTTCCTGAGACAGGGTTATTCCCATGTCTCCAGGCTGGCCTTGAACTCACTATGTAACTCAGGTTGGCCTTGAACTGGTGGTGATCCTCTTGCCGCAGCCTCCTGAGTGTTGGGGTCACAAGTATGTGCCATCATGCTGAGCAATACTCAACTGTTTTTAAAATTGAAATAGTTTAAACCTCTTACCCTACAAATCTAAATTACTTTTAACCAACAGGCCTTATGATCTTTAACTTTTAAATAAATGAGGTGCCTAAAGGGATCTGTTGGCATAGCTTTGTAGAAATTTTCCCCAGGTGGTCCTCTTGTGATGCCCTCATGCCTGGGTTGAGGAGACTGGCATCTCTAGGAGAAATTTCAAACTAAGCCAGGGGCTTTTCCACATCATAACTTGTCTGTATACCCTCACACCAACTCAAGAACCCTAGAGTCTGCCACTTCAAAGCCATCATTGCTGGGGCAGAACATCATCTTGCTCAGGTGGGTGGGGCAGATGAAAATATGAGCTGAGAACCATTGCTCCATTCCAACCAGGGATGGAGGAAACATCACACATGAATCTCACCCAGGGGCCTTTGAGATAGGACTGCACTGAGGCCATATCCCCCCAAAACTGGATACACAGTACTAGAAGGTTAGGAAATTTCAACTTAAAAAACACGGTGACAAACAATTATGGTAAAAGCTCCATCACATTATAAGTCCATTAGTTATAAATTAAGCTGCTAGTAGAAAACTCCAGGTGCAGTTGATTAATTTACAATTTGCATGCCTAGTAAGATTATTTTAGATTGCATTTAGGAAAATCCATACTTATGTTAACTTCAGAAAAAAAAACCAGAACAATTTAGAGTATCTTAACCCACAGAAAAGCAGCCCATGGACAGATGAATAATCTTATTCTCCTAGATGACAACGGCAATGGCAGTTAAGAAATTCTAAAATCTGAAATCTGGAATGAAATTGATAATCATCGCATCATAAAGATGAAGAAATAAAAGTTAGAGGAAAAACGGTACATCTGGTGGAAATAGCTGTGCGATAAAGACACAAGTAATCCAATGCACCGTCTCCATGCGACCTTAGTTACTATCACACTGACAGTACTGTGCACGTGGGTTTAATTTGTACCCAAAGGAGGACAGGACAGGTTTGAATAGAAATACATGTTCATTTCAAAGAGTAGGAGGTCACAGAGAAAAATGAACAGCTTATAAGAAATTAATTGATCGACCTATTTGGGGTTTATATTAGCAGCAGATGTTGAGGACCCACTTCACAGTGAGCCAGAGCTGCCCTGCAGAAGGGGCAGGTTCTGCCACCTGCATGAGCACCAGTGGTCAACTTCTCCTTCCCTGTTGAATCACGCAAAATTTAGCAGACTACAGACACACAGAAGAGCACAGAGCTGTTGCTCCTAACTTTGCCACTAATGGAGACTTAAAACTTCTGGTAAGTGCTGGTAGATTAGACAGAACAATATGCGTGAAATGAAAGCATTTGAGTTCCACTACAAAAGGCGTGTGGCAGAGAAAGGGAACATGAGAAACTTACATGTAAAGGGTTCCACTTCCCAGCCTTCCAGGGTGGCAGGAGGAAGAGAACAAACAATGAAGTAAGAAAACGTTACAGAGAATAATCTGGAAAAGTCACTGCTTTACACAAAGTGTCTGTGGCTCAGGAAGTTTTATTCCAATCAGCCACACAAGTCCACTTTCAACCCAGAGATTTATCTGGATTTTGCTGGAAAAATCATGAATGTTTTATTCTTCAATTTGAAATACAGGCTGACTTAAAGGGGCACATTGCACCAAGCAAATTTATATAAAAAAGAATAAAGTTAATTACATTTCTGTTCAGTATAAAAGATCAAGGGAGACACAGAGGAGAAAAAAACACAAGTTACGTATCATTAAATCTAAAATTGCAAATGCAGATCATGGGGCATCAGTGCAAAGACTTTAAAAATGAACTATAGAAGGAAATAGTTTGTTTTGCTCCCAGTAGTTTAGCTTAATTTTGAAGAAATAGTACTGATTCTGATGAAATTTGAAATAACATTTATTTCAGAGAAACAACAATAAAAACAAAACCCCCAGCTTTTCTGGAACATAGTGAAAAGTGTGTTTTAGCTTACCTTGCCTCTTGAAATAGCCTTGCAGGCTATTTTTATGATCAAGTAAGACCAGAAGCAGTTCAACCCTTGCAGTAGCAAAAGTAGTAGGTTAAAAACCCACCAGGAAGGGTAAGGTCCAACGATTTCCCAACTTTCAAAAAATGTGGTGTTTAACACCCTAAAAAATAAAAATTAAAAAGGGTGATTACTGAACACAGCATTTCACTTCCCTTCCAAAGGAATTCTAGCTTGCACACAGAAGCAGAGTCAAGGATCTCCCCACCCCAGGAAGGATGGTTTGAAAGAGTCCTAGGAAGAAACATCCCTTGAAGTACTGCCTTGGTGGTACGAACTTCATGGTGATTCTAGCTCAAGTAGTAGACTTTGTCCGGGATACTTTAAAAGTAAGTTTGCTAAAACACATAGAACACAAAATTTACCAGCTTAAGTATTTTAAGCCATATTTTGTATCATTCTGTAATCATCACCATCACTCACCTTCAGAACTCTTCATTTTGCAAATACAGAACTCTGGACCCAGTAATATTTACTCCACATCCTCTCTGTCCCTGGAGCCCACTGTTCTATTTTCTGCTTCAGTGAATTTTACTGCTCTAGGTATTGCAAATGAGTAGAATCATACAGTAGCTGTCTTTCCCAAAACAGCCTCAACCTTCATCCATTCGCAGCAAGTGTCAGAAGGGCCTTCATTTCTAAGACTGAGTTGTACACATCTACCACATTCCTGTTCACTCATTCACCCTTCAGTAGATACTTGGGTTGCTTCTGCCTTTTGGCTATAGCCAACAGTGCTGGTAAGAGCATGGGTGTTCTAATCTCTCTTCTAGGAGAAATATATACATATATCTATATCTATGATATAAATATCCTATAGGATATTTAGAATACACACACACATTTATTTATTTAGGGGACACACAAGAAGTGGCATTGTGGGGTCATTTCATTTTCTCCCAATCCTCATCACTGTTTCTTCCATTGTTATGACTTTGCTTTTTTGGATGTGATTCTATATTCAACTGCTTGTTAAAATGCCAACATGATCTTTTGGGTTTACTTTGGCTTTTCAGTAAGTGCAAAGAATACCGTTCAATGACATTAAGATAAAAAAAAAAAATTAGCCCCAGAAACATTGTTTAAGTGTAAACCACATGAATTCCTCTCATAGTAGGAATCAGAATATTTATGAGACCAAATACAGTGGCCGGTGGAGATCTCCACTGGAAGCTGGCTTATGCTTCTGGACCCATATTCCTGCCACAGCCCCTACACTGCAGCACAGCACTTCTCTAGTTTTGGAATCACTCTTACTCGTCTCCTCCTACCAAGCTGACCACAGTGCTTGGAGATCTAAGTGCATTTTCATCTCCTGCCACTGCAGCACTTTGTGGGGATCAGTCTAATTCTATAGGAAAGACTAAGTGGACTTAGTGATTAAAGGGGGCTCCTGGAGAATTCTTGAAGACATGGATCACTCCTACCACAGTGGAGGACAAATATACAGAGAATTTTAATACAAGAAACAGTGTGGTGAGTGAGTGCCCTAAGAGAGGCTAAGAAAAAGTACTCTGTGAAGTCTCAGAATAGTAGAGATTAGGATAATGGGCCAAAAATAAAAGAACAGAGAACAGATATAAATAGGTCTCTCCCCTCAATTTCAGCAACACCATTCATAAACTAAAATCATGCTAACAGTTTGTTTTTTACCCTGCCATACTAGTTATGTGAAAATCCCAAAAACAACAGTCTAGAATTCAATTTGATGGTGTATTAAAAGTATAATACTACATGATATAATAGTATCATGAGGAAGGAGGGATTAACATTTGGAAATCTATCAATATAATAATTATATCCAGAGGCCAAATTACTATAATTCTAAGTATTTTAATAAAATAGAAGACATTTGGTAATATTCATTTCTTTATTGCTGGTGTTTAAAATTTAGAATTATCATGATATGATAGATTCAGAAAATTTATCATGATATTAACCCTTTCAAATCAGAATACTAACACTAGAGCTGCTTCCTTTCATATTAAGGACAAACAAGGACAGCCAGTTTTGCCATTACTATCTAACACTAGAAGTTCTGGTTATTGAGTATGGCAGGAAAATAAAGACTTAATTCCAAATATATAGACATAAAATATCTACAAATACTTTAAAAAGAGCAAACAGAAAATATCCTATAAGAGAAAATGATTAACCAAGTTTGCATTTTTATTCTAGAAATTATAAAGCCATTCAAAACATTAAACATGCTTCAAGAGTTTTAATTATATAAGAAAATGCATGGTATCATCCCAACTCCACGAAGTGTGTGTGTAGGTGTGTGTGTGTGTGTGTGTGTGTGTGTGTGTGTGAGAGAGAGAGAGAGACAGAGAAAGAGAGACAGAGAGAGAATGACAGAGACAGAGACACAGACACACATATTGAGAAAGCGATTGGGAGACAGGGAGAGGGGGAGGAAATTATAAATCCTAGGGAGGAATTAATCAAAGTTATTACAGTAGGATTTTCTCTGGTGGATCAGGGAATTTTACATTTGCTTCTTCACATTGTTCTATTTTTCAAGTTTTTGACCAGTAAAAAAAGGTTAGAAAAAAACAGTAACTTGTGATAAAGATTACATTAAAATAATGTCTATATTGCTGCCCTGTTTATTCTTTTAAGAGGGAATGAACCTTTTAAACACCCATAAACACAGGACAAAGCTAAGCAAGGCCCAGCTCCATGCAGTGGGAAGAACCCATTTTCTGTGTCCAGGGCCTTGTGAGAACACTTGCAAACAGCACACTCACTGGATGTATTTGCTCACTGTTTGTTTATCCTGCAGTAAAATAAACAAGAAAGTGCTGAAATAATAGCAATTCTTTTATTTCAAAACTAGCTCTGCTTCTTAACACATGCCCCTACATATTTTGATATTCAGAGGGAACAGTTTCATTTGAACAGAAAGGGATCCTGTGTGGACAGTGCCCGTGACTACATTATGCTACAGATTGTGAAGCCATACTGGCTGGGTTGCAGGTTGAAAGGTTTTCTCATGATTCTCATGATTAGAATCTCATGATTCTCATGATTCTAATTCTAGGCTGCTGCTTGGCTTAATTTGAATGGGCATCAGAGCAGTAGCTGACAGCATGGCATTCACGTTAACTTCTGAAATGCTGCATCACAATTCATCGGCTTGGCCATGATAGTCAGTGGCACCTCTTGAAATGCCTCTCAAAACATAATGAGATTTCTTTGAAAATTGACTTGGCTGCCTGCAGAGACACTTGGGGAAACACAATCAGTACACCAAATGAATATATCTCTTATTGTGGAACTTGGTTAAAAAACACACACACACAATATATGAGGAATTTCTGCTGGGGAGAAAGACAACATGATACTTGTACTCCAAAGATAGCAAACCTAGAATGTTTGTGTTGAGGAAATTGTTCTTTTTTGGGGACAAACTGTTAAATGGTCATTATAGGATTTTCGTTGTATTAGGTGGCTAATTATGCTATTATGAATCTATGGTGGCAGAATTCACAATAGCAGCTATCTTTGAGGGAGGACTGCCCAATACATGGGATTCAAGATGCTTCTGGCATCCTGGAAACTTCTGTATCTTCATCTGTGTAATGATTACATGGTGTTAAACATGTGTAAATATTTTAAAATATACACATCTGTCAAGCTGTATGCTGAAAATCTGTGCAAAATACTCCACGTGTAAATTATACTTCAATAAAATGAACAGGAAGACACTACTCTGTGAGCTGATAAAACGAATATTCTGTCAGCTAGCAACTTCTGGCTTAAATAATTGTTGTAATATCAGTGGGGTTTCCCCCAAATAGTTTTTGCATTCAACATATTGCTTTTAAGAAAAATGCTTTTCCTCTTTCCCAAAGAACAGCTCCTCTACAACATTACACTTTAGCTGCAGCTTAACTCAGGAGATTATGGGGCCAGAAAGGCCAAGAAAAGACTATTTTTCAGTTCACTAAGGTAGGCCTCCCTTAACCACTACACAGCATCTCACACATGCATGTAACATGCTCAGAGGGGTCTGTTTTTTTTTTTTTTTTTTTTTTTTGTTTGTTTTGCCAGAATCATTCACCAAAGGTGAGCCCAGAGCACAAAACAGTTGATCTCCAGATTACCCTCTTCCTTGTGAAATATCACAGGGAATAATGGGACTAAGACATTGGCTGAGTTTTCCCCTCCGAGTAGGATTTCTGCAGGCAAAACTGAGCTCCCCTTTCTTTGTTTTTTCTTCTCTCTCTCTCTCTCTCTCTTGGTCATTTTGAGACGGAGTCTCACTATGCAGCTCAGGCTGGCCTTGGCTCACTTTGTAGCCCAAACTGGTTTTGAATTTGCAAGGATCCTCCTACATCAGCCTCCTGAGTGCTGGGATTGTAGGCTTAACCCCTTTGTTAGCTCCTAACAATTTAATTGGTTATGGTCTGTAGTTAGTTTTGCTCATTCTTATCTTACATGGATTCTTCATTCTGAATTTATTACAGAAATATCATACAGGTTATATTGGGAGGAGATGAATATACCCATGCAGAAAAGTCTGCAACCATTTTTTTTTTCTTTTAAAGAGGATACAACCTAGGAAAATAAAACAATAAAATCAATCAAAATAAACCAGTATAAGCGATACACGACTTCAAAACCTTACAAAATCAGCAATAGTTACCATAATGCCTGTTACTGTCTTCAAAATAGCTACAGATACCTCCAGGCATAGTAAAAATCAAACAGAACAGAATAGAAAAGAAACAATAAAAACAAAACAACAAATACAAGTCAACAGTAAATCCAACATGGCTACCAAATGTTTTGCTATCTTATAAATAGCTGCTCATGATATTAGATTTAACATAAGCAAAACAATGAATATGGGGGTTCCAGGCGGGGATCGCTTGCTGGTGAGGCCTTGTTCTCTCCTTCCATAGTCCCATAGTCCACAAACGGTGCTGATTTATGGAGAGAGGCTTGGGTCTGGCCTTTGCAACTGTTTTGTTAAGCAAGGCAAGCACTGGCATCTTGTTTTAAGAAGATATTTACGGTTGTACTTATTTTCTAAGCATCACTGTAACTTAAAGCATTCTGCTCTCCCCCTCACGCCTCACAACTCGGAAGTTACTC